CAAAAGCAAAAAAAAAAAAATGAAACGAATATTTCTAAAGATTACTTGCGAAAGCCTTGCGATTGTCGACGGGCGGCGATGCAGCCGGATTCACGTCGGAAAATTCCTCCGGCGAAGCCATTGCCGCCAAACAAAATGAAATGAAATAAAAAAAAACGTCCACTAAATATAAGAAAAAATAAACTGGGGAAAGAATTTTGCGAGCACTTGTCGAGAGGGAAAAACAAGTGTACGTCTGTCCCTTTACATTTCAAGTATATTTTTGTCTGTGGTGAGAAATAGTGCTTACAATTTATTTGTGGATATTGATCATATATCTTTTTAATTGAGAATTTAGATTGCATTTGATTATTTATTTATTAATTTTGTTATGTTTTAGTTGTTGATTAAAATTTCAATAAATAATATCAATTAAGTATATTTATATTGGAAAAATACGAAGCATATATATCAATTACCCATCATCACAAACCAGGCAATATAAAATCTCCAATCAATATAAATCAATTAATGTTCAAAATATAGTATGCAGTTCATCCGTATTGATTCTCAAGGAGTGATCCATGGAATATATAAAATGGATATAGATTGAGGGATTACGAAATTTTACCAAATATTTTGATAACCAGTTTTGCTATGGAGTCATCGGATGGTTCGGCTTATGGAGCCATCCACAGTTATTGACAAATAGTATATTGACACGTGTCCTACAATAAATGCACTTTGGACAAGTGTCAATACACTAAGTCATGGATGGCTCCATAAGAAAACCATCTGATGGCTCCATAGAATTTTTGATAACTTGAAATCTCATACTTCTACTCGAGATGTTAGATGTATTATTTTATTCACAATGTTTTATACATATGATTTGTATTAATTCCGGTTTGGTCGTTTCGACCAATTTGCGATTAGGCAGGTCAAACCTGGTCGTTTCGACTAGTAAATATCTTTATGAGGGACCATTTGAGTTTCATTGAGTTGGTTGATCCTCCTAATCTAGGTCGATGTATTTATGCGTATGGTATTGCACATAACCAGAAATTAGCTTTATTTTTAAGAACTTAACAACACTTCAGCCTAATTGCTCCGATGAAAATGATTCGAGAAAATATATTACAATTACACTTTAAATAAATAAATATATTGATGTGAACCAAGCAACTAGACCAGATGAACATGCGGATCGAGTTGGAGTCAGAGCTCGACCTGAGGACAATGACCGGGCTGGCGTCAATCTTCCAACAGGAGACGTCAACTACGAGCTTAGTATAAGCTTGACCTAAAGAAGCATGAGGTCGAATCGACCTCATTAACAATAGAAGAGCTGGGGAAGTATTGAAAATCATGGTATTTGTGAACCAAAGAAAGAAGAAATCATCCATTTCATTGTAATCATCAATGGCGGCTGTATTCAATAGCATTCATTACAGAAACCCTAGCTACCAAATTGGTATTTAAATAAGAGAAAAGAACTATCTAGATAATGGACACTTGTTGCAATCTTAAATGAGTGAGCTAAAAGAAAGATGCTCATCTAAGGGTGTAAAAGGTAGCTAAACCATTGCTGTCTATTGGAGCCTTTGTTGACAGCTCATGCATCGTGCCAAAATGCTTGCAGCATGCAGAGCTCGTGGGACCAGCAGGTAAGATTACTGCATTAGTTTCATGCAGTAAATTTTGTTCTTTTGACTGTGGTAAATCCTCACCAACCTGAGGTGTATTACCTGGTAATTCTAACACTCCCCTGCAATTCGAACTTGGTTGAGCCAACACATGCAATTTACTTCTCAACTTAGTGAAGGATTGCTCACTCAAAGGCTTAGTGATAATGTGTGCAATTTGGAACTGAGTAGGAACATGCCTTACTTCTATGTCTTTAGCTGCAACTTTCTCCCTGACAAAATGATAGTCCAACTCAACATGTTTTGTTCTTCCATGCATCACAGGATTGGCTGCCATGGCAATGGCACTGAGGTTATCAAACCAAATGATTGGAATCTGCCTTGAAGTTAAGGTAAGCTCTTTGAACAAGTTGATCATCCACATTATTTCAGAAGTGACATGTGCCAAGCTCTTGTATTCTGCTTCAGCACTGGATCTGGACACAGAATCTTGTTTTCTAGAACTCCAAGAAACCAGATTTCCACCAACATAAACACAGAAACCACTAGTGGATCTCCTATCATCCAAGTCTGCAGCCTAATCAGAGTCATAGAAACCAACTATGTCTAAATTGGCAGTCTTTGAGAGTTGAAGGCCAAAAGATGAACATGCTGCAATGTACTTCAAAATCTTCTTGATGGCTTTCTAATGTTGATCATTAGGATTTGACATGTACTGGCTAACCTTATTGACTGCAAAGGCAATCTCTGGGTGAGTGATAGTTAAACATTGCAGTCCTCCCACCATACTTCTGTACATAGTTGCATCCACAGATTTTTCAGACTCATTCCTTCTTAAAGCAACACTTCTTGACATTGGAGTGTTGCATCCTTTGGCATTATACATTGAGGCTTTGGATAGGAGATCCTGAGCATATCTCTCTTGGGATAGAAACATTCCTTTTTCTGATCTGTAAATTTTTATCCCAAGAAAATGATGAATCTGACCAAGATCATTCAAAGAAAAATTTGCAGTGAGTTGAGACACAAGCTCCTCAATCTCAGAATCACTGCTTCATGTTATCAAGATGTCATCAACATAGATCAAAATGATAAGAACAGCTTCGTTAGAGCCCTTGTAAAACAAAAGATTATCTGCTTTGGAGCTATTGAATCCTAACTTGTTGAGAGTGTCTTTAACTTTAAGAAACCAGGCTCTAGAAGCCTGCTTCAATTCATAGATAGCTTTGTTCAATCTGCAGACTCCATTAGGATTAGATTTATGACTGAAACCTGGAGGTTTTCTCATGAATATCTCCTCAGAAAGCTCTGCATTTAGAAAAGCATTATTAATATCCAGCTGTCTCACAGACCAAGAAAAATGAACTGCAACTGTTAAGCTGATCCTGATAGTAGAATGCTTCACAACAGGACTAAAGGTTTCTTTAAAATCAAAACCAGCTACTTGAGAATATCCTTGAGCTACAAGTCTAGCTTTGTACCTGGAAATGGAACCATCAGAGTTTAATTTCAATTTAAAAATCCATCTGCAGCCTACTATGTTTCTGTTTTCAGGTGGCTTTGTAAGAGTCCAGGTGTTATTATCAACAAGAGCATGTAACTCATCTATCATGTCCTTTCTCCAATGAGGTGATTGTAAGGCTTCATTGAGACATGCTGGTTCTCTTTCTTCAATACTTACCATAAACACCCTTGGTTTGTAAATGCCTGCTTTTCCTCTAGTGATCATATGATGCTGATTAGAAATTCTTTGGGACCCTGAAGTCATGGATGCATGATCTGGAGAGTTGTCTAACTCAATAGGTAAATCAACAACTAAGGGAATAGTGGTGTGACTGGACTGGCTATTTATGGTTCTGGGACTTTGAATGGTTGTGTTAGAAGAGTGACTAGGTGTTGAAGTTTGTTTTTCTTGGGTGAATGATTGTGTCTTAGTATGAGGAGTGGCTTCCTTTTGGATGATAGTGGGTAAATTTATGCAGTGAGGTTGAATATCATTAAGGTTATAAGGTTTGTTACCTGTCTCTTGGCATAGGGGTATTCATTTTCATTAAAAATGACATGCCTGGATATTATGAGTTTTCCTGAGGGTAAAAGGATTTTGTATCCTTTGTGGGAGTTACTGAATCCAATGAAGGTTCCTCCAATAGATCTTGGTTCAAGTTTATGCTTATTGAAGGGTCTCAACAAAGGATAAACTAAACAGCCAAAGGTTTTGAATCCAGTGTAATCAGGTTGATGATGGTACAGCACCTCCAAGGGACTCTTAAATTTCAAGGACTTTGTAGGGAGTCTGTTTATGATGTAGCATGAAGTAGAGAATGCATCATCCCAGAATTTTAAGGGAAGAGAAGATTAAGAAAGAAATGACAATCTCATTTCTGTGAGGTGCCTATGCTTTCTTTCAGCTGTTCCATTTTGTTGAGGTGTATGGAGGCAAGAAACTCTATGAGTGATGCCATTGTTTTGAAGAAAAGATGTAAGAGCTCTAAATTTTTCCCCCAATCACTCTGATGAGTTTTAATCTTGTGACCAAACTGAGTTTCAGTCATGGCTTTAAAGTGAAGAAAGACATCATACACTTCTGATTTTAGTTTCAAGAAAAATATCCAAGTGAACTTAGTATATTGATCAACAAAAATAACATAATAAGAATGACCATTTCTTGACTTAATGGGTGAAGGACCCCACAAGTCTGAGTGAATTAATTCAAGAGGAAAATTTTATTGAGTCACAGAATCAGTAAAAGGTAATCTGTGAATTTTGGAGACAACACAAATGGAACACAAGTCATTGTCTTTATTATCATCAAAAGGCTGATTACATTTTTTTAGAACTCTCTTGACTACATCAAGATTAAATGCCCTAGCCTCTTGTGCCAGAAATCTAAGATAGACTGACTCTTAAAACTACTAAGGTGAACTGATGGTTGCAGATGAAAGGTGGTGCTGTTTTGAGAAGATGGAGTGGTAGGATTTGACAACTGAAACTGATATAGTCCTTGATTAAGATTCCCTTGGAGTAGTACTTCCTGAGTTACATGATCCTTCACAAAACAATGAAAGGGGTGAAACTCAAAATAGACATTGTTATCCAAGGAAAATTTTGATACACTCAGCAAATTTTTGGTAACACTGGGAACATGTAACAAATCTTTTAGCAGAAATATTCTATTGGATTGAGGGTTTTTTAGGTGAGATTTACCTATGTGAGAGATGCTCTCTCCAGATCCATTCCCCATGTGAAGCTTTTTCCCTCCATTGTATTCATTTGAAATGCTGAGATTGGCAAAGTCATTAGTGACATGGTTTATTGCACCACTATCTGGAAACCACTGATCCTTTCACTTGAAGCTTCTGTGGGAGTGAATTGCTGAGTGTGCATCATGTTTGCAGATGGATTGTTCACTCCTCTAGTTGAGTTTTCAGGAGCACTCTCCATGTAACCACTATCATACCTGTACCAACACCTCTCAACAGTGTGACCATTCACTCCA